CTCCTTTACTTCTACCTTCCAGATCTCATGTAAGTGCACTTATTTGGCAGAACTTAATATGCATTTAAAACCTAGCTTGGAAATGTAATTTTTACCTTTCCAACCACTCTAAAAATAGGACAGAATGGAGTTTGGGAAGGACAAAGTGGAGTTCAGGTAACTCAATTCAGAGCACCCACCTCCTGGGGATGCCAACAAAGAAGAAAATGGAACTTTCAGGTTTTTCTTTCAGAAATAATATGTACCCTCCTCTTCACCCTGTTCAGTGAATCTGTGCCAAGAAATGATTAGGAAGTTACATTCTGCTCCTCATATGAGGATTTACTAAGCCATCAATTTCTCTTATTTGGATTCTAATTTGAGGTTTCACATTTTCTCATACTTTCCTTAAACCTTGTGTAATACCTGATGGACTTTTCCCAACCTGGGGTCACTTTCAGGTCAGACATCCTCTCTTTCCAGCCTAATCCATGTCTTGAAGCCACTCCTTAGTGGTGTAGTAGAAAATGCCTTGCATTGGAAATCTGGAGGTGTAGGTTCTAGTCCTAGCTTACTACTGACACAATGTATAACCTAGGAAAAAATCATAATCCTAGACTGAGCAAACATAAATGCCAGAACATTTGTAGACTCATTCATTCAGCAAATATTTTTTGAGAAACTACTAGTGACACTATTCAGTGGCAAGCACTGTTTAAGGCACTTAACATGCAAAAATGAACAAAGTACTTCAAAAGCCCGGTCTTTATGGAGATCATGTTCTAGTGGGGAGGATAAACAACTAATGTAATGATTAAGTGAACTATATAGTATTTTAGGTGACCAGAGCAGCAGTTAGTCTAAGGTTAACTGTCCTCCACTATTGAGGCAAGATCTTTCTGAGTACTTTCATCAATGCCCCATGTATCATGAGTTTTTCCAGTCCAGCTGGTGAGAACAGGCACCATGCACTGTTTCTCCTAGTCCTCTCAGATAGTTATTTCCCCAGCCTTAGGTGGTTTCCTCAGAAGCATGAGCCACTTAGTACTCTGCTAAATACTTTAGAGGAACTCTCCACAGTCTTCTGAGTTCTGCCTGTGTGTAGCTCTTTTCTCTCCAGGACTATGTACTGTCAACTCCAGCTGCCTTGGTCTCCCTTGACTCTCAACTTAGGGAATCTGCCAGCTGTCCTTGAGTTCCCCCTTCTTTTCCCCACATCCTGGAAGCTCTCTCAAGAAAATAAGCAGGAGTCATTGTAGATCTCACTTCATTTGTCTCCCATTTCACAGAATCTTTGTATTTTATAGCATGATTTCCATTATTTTATAATCTAATCTTTCATGTATTCTGTCTGCTTTGGGGTTTGTTTCAGGCAGGAGGGTAAATCTAGTCCCTTTTACCTCATTGTAACTGAAAGCAGATGTGGTGATGATATCCTTTCTATATCCCAGTTGGTATGTTTACTAATTTTATGTAATGGTAAGATAAGATACACGAATATTAACCTCTGAACAATTACTACACTGATGAACCACATTGACGTTTAGATGTAAGTTTTATGAGGATCAGTGAGATGGTTAATTTTAGGTGTCAATAAATGCAGAAAAAACATTTGACAAAATTCAGCACCCCTTTATCATAAGAACGCCTAACAAAATAGGCATTATCTCACAATGATAGAATCCATATACGACAAACCCACAGCCAACATCATACTGAACCGGGAAAACTGAAAACATTCCCACTTAGAATTAGAAGGTTGCTCACTACCACCACTTCTATTCAACATAGTGCTGGAAGCCCTAGCCAGAACAATCAGACAAGAGAAGGAAATCAAAGGCATCCGAATGGGGGCAGAAGAGGTC